ATGCGTGTTTAACCCTTTACTATTGCCATCTTGTTTACGTTTATTTTGTAAACTGTCCGACAGCAATATAGGTCAGTCAGGCGATATTATTTTAAAACTTTACCAAAAATTAAATTATCATTATATTCATATGAAAAAAATCACGTACATTTATTAATATCTTTAGTTTAATACTTTAGAATAATTATAATTCCTTTTAATTATAAATGTCTATTGTTAGCAAAAGGTAGCAACACTGCACTCTGAGAATAAACAGGCAGTTCTTTATAGCTCCTGTTGGAGTAAGTTGTCTCTCTTACTGCTGCTGTTTTGATGTGCAACAAACGTATTGTGTTTTTCATATTGAAAATCTGATTTTAATATCCACAATGTCGGCTACCAATGCTAAGAAGAAATGCAGACAATCACAGGAGTATTTTAAATATGTTTTGTGCCATCGTTTGCTAATGAAACTATTCCTATGTGCTTATTATGTGAAAAAACTCTCAGCAATGATGCTATGAAGCCAGCGAAAATGAAAGACCACTTGGAAAAGATCCATTCTGATAAGAAAAACAAAGATTTTGAGTATTTCAAAATACTAAAAGAGAAATTGAGAATTCGGCCAAATTTGATTACATATTTGAAGTCATCTGCTAGTGTTGATAGAGGAGGAGGACTGAAGACATCCTACAGCATCTCTCTTAATATAGCAAAGAAAGGCAAACCGTATGCTATTGGTGAAGAGATTATAATACCGGCTATAAAAGATACAATTAAAAATGTTATGAAGAAAGACTCTCAACTAGTTTTAAAATGCATACCATAAAGTGCAAAAACCGTGCAGCGACATATTGAGGAAATGGCCGATGATGTGGAAAGAACTTTGAGCTCTGAGCTCCAGCATTGTAAGTTTGCTATTCAACTTGACGAATCAACTTTCGGAAGTTCAAATCTTCTCATTGCTTATGTTAGGTTTCATAGTCCATCCCTGAATGACACTGTTGATGAATTTCTATTTGCTAAGTATCTTGAAACCGATTCAAAAAGTGAGACAATTTTTTTATGCTTGCAAGATTATTTGAACAAGCACAGCATTCCTTTCGGGAATATTACTACACTAGCTACTGACGGTGCACCTGCCATAGTAGGCCGTTACAGAGGATTTTTCGTCTTTCTGAAGGAAAAGGTTTATAAAGTACACTACATACTGTTCACTGTGTCCTACACAGGCAGCACCTTGTAGCCAAAAAACTGAGTGGTGATCTTCACGAAAAGTGTGCATCAGGTCAATAAATAAAATTATAGCTCATCCTCTCAATTCCAGACTGTTTGCGAAGTTATGAGAAGAAAATAATGAAACTTTAAACTAATTACTTTTGCACACTGAGGTAAGGTGGTTGTCAAGAGGTGATAATTTGCAGAGGCTTGTTGACTTGTACGACTCAGCTGAAGAGTTTCTTAGGAATGTGGATCCATCACTATGTGACCAGTTAAAACAGTGCAAGAATTATCTGTTTTACTTGGCAAACCTTTATTCAAAATTTAATATAGTACAGAAGCGTTTGCAAGGAAAAAATGTCACAATTGTTCAAGCTCGAACAATCATAATGGCCTTTCAAGTAAAAATGGAGCTATTTAAATCTTTACTGGCACGATCCGATTTTAAATATTTTTCAAACTTGCGAGTACAAAAAGAAAATGAAAAGATTTCCGACCGTGATTTGGAAATATATATTAAACATCTTGATAAGTTAAGAGAAAACTTTAAAGCAAGTTTCGAAGACTTGGAGAATATGCATGTACTGTACGTACCTGAACGGTTTACTAATCCATTTGATGTAGGCACAATCATAACTAAGAAAGTTATAATAAAGAAGACTCAAGCAGATAAAGGCATAACGAAAATCACATCTCAGAAACAAAGATGTGCCATCCATGAATAAATGGAGAGATTGCTTTTACTTTTGATAAAAAAAAAGGGGGGAATGGAAAGAAATGTAACTAGTATATCCATCATTCAAGAGAAAGCTACAGAAATTTTTGAAGTATTGAAGAAATAACCTCTACATTCATCATATGAGGAGATAAAATTCAAAGTTATCCCTGGATGGTTTGCAAAGTTTAGAAGATCTGACATTAAACGTTTGGTAATTCATGGTGATTCTGCTAATGCAGACAAAGAAACTGAGAAGTTCTGTCTCAAGTTTGAAGAATTCATTTAAAAAGAAGGATATTGTCCACAACAAATTTTCAATTATGATGAAACTGGTTTATTTTGGAAGTGCATGCCGAACCATACCTACATTACAAAAGAAGAAAAAAATATTCCTGGGCATAAACCCATGAAAGGCCGATTGACGTTACTTTTGGGAGCTAATGCTAGCGGTGATATGAAGCTTATCCCGCTTGTCTATCACTCTGAGAACTCTAGAGCATTCAAAAAAATTCCATAATTAAAGAAAAACTGCCAGTGATGTGGAGATCGAATAAAAGGGCATGGGTCACGCAGGCTCTTTTCAAAGAATGGCTGTTTGAAGTTTGTGCTCCAGGCATCAGGGATTACCTTCAGACCAATGAATTGCCATTGAAAGCACTGTTGCTATTGTACAATGCACCAGGACACCCAAAAGACCTTGAAGATAATTTTCTGGAAGACTTTTTCAGGCTGACAGTTTAGTTTCTGCCTCCGAATACCACTTCGTTGATTCAGCCAATGGATCAAGAGATTATTGCAAGTTTCAAGAAATTGTACATTTGAGCCCTGTTTCCTCGGTGATTAGAAGCATGCCAGTTCTCCTCAACGATGACATTAAAAACGTTTTGGAAAAAAAAAAAAATTGATATTCTTGAAGCTCATTCAAAAGGCATGGTCAGAAGTCACTCAACGAAAGTTGAATTCGGCTTAGTGAAAGTTGTGTCCCTCCTGTATTCACTGACACGGAGTTGATGTCGTTGAAATTATGGATAAAATTGTGACAATTGCTAGAGATCTGGAATTAGAGGTGAACGAAGATGACATTGAACAGCTCATAATGGAACCTGAAACTGATCTGAGGACAGAAGAACTCCAAGAACTCTTGAATGAAGAACACTAAGAAACTCAGCGAGATGTGTTTTCTTCTGAAATAGAGGAAGACGAATGAAAATCAATGCGGACATCTGCTATTTAAGATCTTTTGAAGTGGAAGGATGTCAGAACAACGATTTTAGAATGGCATCCAAATTAGTTTGAGATTAATAGGCTTGAGGATCTCACCGTCGACAATGCTATTAATTGCTTTCGAAAAATCCTGAAGAGAGAAAAGCAATCGAAATTGGACAGATTCTTTAACGTTCCATAAACGGAAAAAAACATGAATGATAAAAAATGCAAGACTGTGTTTGTTAATTAATTTACGGCAACGAAACACTTGGACAATCTGACTTCCGTGAGGTCTTAAGGGTAACTGGCCCCTATTTAGGCGTTACAGACATGAATAAAACTTCACGTGACCAGCCCATCCTGGCGAGGGCCGAACCCACGACCAAACGCCCAGAACCGCTTGGTCACTGGTGGGCCTGCAAGACTGTGTATATATGTATTTTTATTATTACATACATATAAATAAATATAGTAAGAAAGTATATAATTTTTTATTAATTTTTGGGATCTCCTAAACGAATTAATCAAATTACCATAAAAATATATGGTAAATCGATAATCGATTAACGAACAATTCGGGTAGTGAACATAATCTTGGAACGAATTATGTTCGTTAACCGATCACTCACTGTATATACCAAATACATATATAGTTTTAAAATACAATAAAATTTCAAACTTATTATTTAAAGAGAATACATTATTAGTTCTAAATAAGTTGATTAAATTTTTTCTTTTTTTATTCTGATGAAACTGTGTTGTAGTTTACTTTGCTTTATACAGACACACTACGGTAGTGTGTCTATATAAAGCCAAGTTGATTAAAATTAAAATTATACAAGATAATGTTTCAAAATCTAAGGAAATGGTGGGCCTCACACTACACTATCAAAATTTAAAATAATAATTTATGATGCAAGCATAATTACATAAGAAAACCAAGTTCAATATATTTATGTGCGCCAATTAGAATACCAATTTTTACATTTTGATTTAAAAGTTATAGATTTTAAACAGTAAATCGGATTATATTGAAGACAGTGTTAAATTATATTAAGCTACAGCGTTATTGTTTAAAAAATCTTCAGTTATAAGGCTGCTCGGCAAGGAGCGTTATAACTTTACTGCAAAGAGATGTAACATGACTATATTATTTTACTTTTAAAATTTGATACTAGATGGAGACACGTGTAAAAATTCTAAACAATGAAATTTATTCGATTTCTCAAACGTATCGCCATCTAGTATCAAATTTTTTAAGTAATGAGATTACGACCGTTTTAATGTAAATTATATATAATTTAATAACAATTTTACTGATAATATTAAATTTTCGTAAAATATATATATATTTATTTATATTCTACACTACTGGAAGGACAAGGAAGACACGCGAAGAGCTCCTGATTTAGGAAACACGTGCTAGAACCTTCACTATAGAACGAAATTTATGAAGAAACTCAAAGTTATTATGAAAGTTTCTTGTGTTTATTTTCTTCGTGAGATGTAACAAGAGGCCTATATCAGTTTTGTCGACAACATGGGTCGTGGGTTCGTGCCTGGCTAACAGGCTTAATAGGGAATTTTCCGTAGATTACAGACAAAAATCAGTAAATCTACCGAAAAATCGGTAGCATTGGAGACCATGCCTGTAAATTCAAATTATCTACATTTATCACCGTTCTGTAATATTATACTAGTGACAATTTTAGATATATTTTGATTAAGTTAAGAAATAATATAATTATACAAGGTTTAATCATTATCTATCCAGAAAAGGGGATAATAAAATAAAAATTGATGACGTATACATTTAAACATCTGTCAAGAATGTAGTCACCTGCTCTAGAAATTGTTGACAATTGACAATAACGTTAGAAATTGTTCACGGCAGATGGTAATTACGTCAGAACAATTTAATTGAATGAATCGAAAATCGAGGATATGTTATCAGCATTTCTCCTATGTTTAAGTTCTATTAACAGTTGTAAATATTTAATTACCGAAGAACAAATTGCTTCACGATTTATCCGAAATGTCAATCAGATCAACGAAAGGCAATGTCATTTATTTCAATTGGCATCTTGGAATTACGAAACAAATATTACAAAATATAATAAAAATAAAATGGTGAGTGAGTCCTTATTACTAAAACCTACTATTTTCTTCTCTAATTAATTAATTAATTATATAATAATATGTATATTAGGTTATTATTATTTAGTTTTCTGAACTCTTTCCACCAAGGAAACACGAAGAGGGGAACCTTTCTATGCCCATCATTTGAGAAAATGGGATAGAAAAAGGACCTCTTAGTGTCTTCAGGTTGGAAAGAGTTTTAAAAAAATCAGCCATTTTAATGTCTTCAGGGATTTAGCTAGCACCAAAGCAACTCGTGATCCTGAAGACACTCATCAATGGCCACAATTTGATAATTTAAAGGCGTAAAATTAATTACTCATTCAGGCAAATTAAAATTGAAGTTTGATTTTCTAGATAGAACAGGAAATGCTAAATTCAAAAATCACTAAAGAAAATTGGAAAAAATTAATGAAATTTGACTGGAAACATTTTTCGGATCCTCAACTGAGACGTCAGTTTCATCATTTATCGTATCTAGGAGATGAAGCATTATCTGTTACGAAATTACGCAAGGTAAAATATAATCGCCACTGATTTAATATATCCTAAAATAAGTTAATTATATATAATTTTCTAATATATATAGAAAAGTTCCCTTGAAGCTGACATGGTCGATATTTATAGTACAACGGTTATATGCGATTTTAAAAATAAAAATAAGTGTAACCTAGCTTTAGATCCAGGTAAATTTTGTATATTTTTTGTTATTTATGTATGGTCAAATGGCCTTCAGAATTAAAATAATTTCTAATTATTAATTTATTATATAGATCTAACCAATATTTTGGCTAAATCTAACGACTATGAAGAGTTGAAACACGTCTGGAAAGAATGGAGGAATAAAGTTGGAAGAAAAATTAAACCTTTGTACTGGAAATTTGTACATTTAAGTAATGAGGCGGCTTTACTGAATGGTAAATATTTACATAAAATAATAACTGTTTGATAAAGGAGAGGTTTGGTTTGGTTTGATTTGATGGAATACAATAACGCAACACGTGGACTGTCTGCCAAGCGGGGCGCTTCCCAAATAGAGTTTCTATAGGAAACTGGTCTCTATTTGGGTGTTAGATACGTGAATTTAACTCGGAAAAGTCCACGTGGACATTCCGTTGGTCAGGCACAAATCCACGACCAGTATTTTGCGGTTTTATCCTATCTTTCATCCCTTTCTCCATGGCTCACCTATTGTGAGCCGTGGAGAAAGGGATGAAAAATAGGACAACCTGAAAGAAGCTTATTAAAAACAATAACCTTATATAGAAACGGGATAAGCTGCTCCAAACCGATTTGGAAATATAAATTATTGGGCCAGAGTATTTTTTATAACTCGAATTTAACAAATATTACATTATATACACGGAAGTAGTGTTTTAAACAGTTACCCCGATTTAAGAACAATTCTTTAGCGAATTTTCCGATTTAACAGGCAAAGTATGAATGCATCTTTAATATATTTTTATATATATACTATGAGCAGATCATTTAATTATATTGTAAACACATTTTTAAGGTAAACGTTGTGTGTAAATGCATCCGTAATAATGCATTGTGAAGGAAATATATGTTATTAAAATATGTATAAATTATTACTTTATAATTCATACTATATGAATGTAGTTTCTAATACCACGCCATTAATCACTAGTGTGGTAAATTAATTTAATTGATAGTCTTCATACTTAGGACATTCTTTCTGCACAGATGATTACAATTGACAAACGAATAAGCTAGCAACGTGTAGTAATGCATTTAATTGGATAATAACTAACAGAAAGAATGTCTTCATTGTTAATTTATTTGCTTTCAGTTGCTTTAAAAGTAATCATTATGGCGTTAATCGATATTTTAATTTAATAAATTAATTAGGAAATGTTTATAGTCAATATTTAGCACAAATTATTCATTTTAGGATTTAAAGATGCGGGAGAATTTCAGAGAGATAAATACGAAAGCCCCACATTTCTTCAAGATTTAGAAAATCTATGGAAGCAGATTCAACCCTTATATCAACAATTACATGCTTATGTCCGGCGGAAACTGATACAAAAGTATGGAAAGGATAAAATTAAACATGATGGCCCTATACCGGCTCATCTCTTTGGTAGGCCTATTCGTCAAATTCTATTATTTTTTTTCTAATTTTTATGATTTCTAATTGAACGTTTTATACTTTTTAGGTAATATGTGGTCACAAGAATGGCAAAATATTTTAAATCTGGTTATACCTTATCGAAATAAGCCGTCGTTGGATGTAACACCACAAATGAAAGCTAAGGTAAGTACAGTATATTAAGTTAATTAAACTAAAGCATGTCTATTATTGGCATAGTCGTGTGAATTTTTTACTATTTTAATAAAGAAATATTTGTTTTAAAATCGAATTTTATTTTTTAATAATATCTGGGCGATTAATTGGGCAATCTGTTAAGAATTGGGGCGTTCCGGAAGGACTTTCTACAAGATATTGAGGTGTTATAGGCGTGAAGAAAACCGTTGGCGAGGCACTAACCCACGTGGAGTTTTCCAAGTTTTCTTCACGTTTGTAACGCTCAAATAGAGGCAAGTTTTCCATAAAAGTTGTCTCGGGAGGCCTCCCTGGAGCAGATCGCCCATATGTCGCGTTGCTGTAACCAAATAAACCAAACCTTTAATAGGGTAGTACAGATCCCACTCCCCTGATAGTCAACTATTTTTAGAATTAGTGCCGATTATAATTTATAACTTTCTTAATATATATCGAAAATGAGATTATTCTTCGTTATACAGAAAATGAAACCAATACAAATTGCCAAATTGGCCGAAGAATTTTTTGTATCGTTAGGACTTCGACCAATGACGAAAGAATTTTGGAATAATTCTCTCTTCGAGAAACCAAAAGATCGTAAGGTGGTTTGCCATGCTTCTGCTTGGGATTTATGCAATAAGGGTGATTTCAGGTACAACGTTTAAAATTTATCTTGAGCATTTCTCAGTATCGTATCGACTTATTAATGTTCTTACTTTAAAAATTAAGAGTAAAATTGTGCATGGAACCTACAATGGAATTTTTAATTACCACTCATCACGAAATGGGACACGTACAATACTATATGCAATACGCAAAGCAGCCTCATATCTTCAGAACGGGTGCAAACCCAGGTAGATTTTTGGCATATAAGTAAATATATTGTAAAAAATTACTGCCAAATTTTATTTCTGTATATTTTCCGTAGGTTTCCACGAAGCCATTGGTGATGTTATGGGTCTCTCTGTATATACTCCAAATCATCTACAGTCTATAGGATTATTGAACGATATAATTTCAGATAGAGGTAGATCTAAAGATAAAACATCGTGCAATTTTTCAAAATTAATATATTTTATTGTTATTTTAGAAGGTGACATAAACTTTTTAATGGAAATGGCATTGAAGAAGGTAGCCTTTCTACCGTTTGGCTACATATTAGATAAATGGAGATGGGGAGTTTATAGCGGAGAAATACCCCTTGAAGAATGGAATACAAAATGGTGGGAAATGAGGTATATGAATCTCAGCATTTTAAATAATGCTTAAAAATAAAAGTGTGTCTGAATTTCAACAACTGAAGTATATCTTTTCGGCCATTGAAGATTTAAATATCAAGGAATATGTCCACCTGTTAGGAGAACGGAAATTGACTTTGATCCGGGTGCAAAATTTCATGTTCCAGCTAATACGCCTTATATTAGGTAAGTTTACTTTTCAATTTTGCTATATTAAAGTTAAATCTTAGCTTTCTATACAGCAAAATCTTTAAAAGACATGCTCATAGTGATGTGTTAGAGACTTCTGCTTAGCTGATAGATTATAAGGCATAAGATACAGATATAAGAAAATAGATTTTGCTATTTTACAGATTGTAGTCTTTCATACATTCTGCTCTTTTTCCAACATTTTTCTTTGTTTACTATTGTGAAATTATGTTTTTCAGGTACTTTGTCAGCTTCATTATCCAGTTTCAATTTCACGAAGCTCTTTGTCGTGTTTCTGGATACTTAGGTCCTTTACATAAGTGCGATATATATAATTCCAAAGAGGCCGGAAAACTAATCAGGTAAAACTTTATAAATATTTTTTAATGGATGATTTACTGAAAATAATAATTATTATTTTTAATTTAGCGAAATGATGCAAATGGGATCATCGCGACCTTGGCCCGAAGCCTTAGAAAAACTTACTGGTGCTCGAAAAATGAATGCACATTCTCTTCTAGAGTACTTCAAGCCTTTATATGAATGGTTGAAAGAAACTAATAAAGAAGAAATCATAGGTTGGGAGACTATCGATCCGAATATTTGTCCTTAACTCTATCATCCTACCTATTATGTTCAGTTGTGTGTTTGTTAAATAAAACTAAGATTTATCGATTTGTGTTATTTATGAAATAATTACAGTATTTAAAAATTCTAGCAACGAGTTGCGTAACTTTCCCGGCTTTTATGAAATTTTATTAAAAAAAATAACATTTGTATTAGTAAAAAAAAGTAAATAATTAAAATTGTAGGTGGCGCCATCTTTTATGAGATTTTGTTATAATCTTTTTATATATTTTTTAATCGTTATAAAATAGCAAAATAGTCATTTCGAAGTGTAACTCGTCTATTAACATCTGAAAACACCCGCATTATTCACAAAGGAATATCTACGATTGATTTCATCATTTGTTTTGAACACCTATTTTACTTATGTCTTGTGTAGAATTAAAAAAAAATGTTCATATATAACAATCCTAGTCAAACCCTACACTACAGATGCTTTTCAACATGATAAAGCGTGTTCAAGCATAGTTTTAGGCCCATTTTTCCTGTTTAATAAGCAAAAAACTGCAATGCACCCTATAACATGAAGCAAAGAAAAAGAAAAGTTTAAAACAATTTACAAAAAATTCAAATAAACACCAATTTAATTAACTGCAAAAAGGCTGAAAGAATATATAAGCCACTTATTTTCCATGTTTTCTTCACAAGTCTAATACATGTATAGGAAGTTTTCCCAGTAGATCCTTCTTTCTTGGTGGATAGCTCATGTTACTTTGCAATCGGAATCTATAAATCAATACTCGAAGTTGAAAAATGCTAATTTATTTCATCCGAATATTAAATAATTAAAGTTATATATAATTTTATTTATTTAAAACTATTTAAAATTACAACATAATAAACACTCGTTGCAATAAACTCCGATTTAAAGGACAAAATATGTCCTATAGAATAAATTTTAACTAACACCCCTATCCTCCATTTAAAAATATATCTATAAAATATTAAGATTCTTTTAATTTAGCGATAATATCTTATAATATTTCGAATTTAGAAAGTATTTAATCAATAAAAGTACTTCCTTTTATAAATATGAATTAAAAAATATATATTCTTTGAATATTTATAAATTTTTTTATCATTAATTCATAATTTTGAGCGATACAAACAATTAAAACAATTGCATAATATTTCCTAAAGCTATTTCCTGAATTACGAACTTATCAAAGTCAATTCACTCGTTAATTTTGCTGAATAAAAATTTATCTATCGGAAAATAAAACATTTATTTCAAGGAAAGATTATTATCTCAACCTTATAAAAATAGAAACGTGTACTTGTATGCAATATCTATATTCTATAAAATTATAATAAAATCTAATTTCATTTAATTTATTAATTTAAAAAAAATTGATAATTAAATTAATAAAAATTTTCTATATAATATAAAANAATTAGCCCATCTGCTGCATTTATGAGCGTAACCTTGTATTTATTTTCGAGTGAATGTTCTTAAGATCGAATTGGTGACAAATAAATATTCGATTGCAAAAAAATAAATAATTAAACACTATATCCATATTCTAATATTAAAAAAAATATAAAGAGTGAAATTATTCATATATTTTATTAATTATATTAATTGTTATTTTAAATTTAATAATTAACTTTACTATAAACGATTTTTAAAAATTCGTGTTCGATGATTGGTCGATTCGAATTTAAAATTCTTTATTCTCGTATGACGTAAATATGTAAACTTAACACGTGATTATATTATTCTTGGTATTGATTTTCTGCTCCTTCTCCTTTGTTCGATTAGTGAATCTCACGAACAAAGACACAGATAAAGACGAAATTTTCATACCGGTTTTGATTAATTATTTTAATTTTAGTTTTCATAATTAAGTGTTAAAGTTAATAAAAATAGTAAATTAACAATAGCGACGTTAAAAAAGTATAATAAACATGAGATTATAATAAAGAATTTAAAAATTTATTTCGTTGTTTTTATTTTATTTTATTTATAAGTGTAAGATAAATTTAATGACAGATACGTCGATAATGTTTTAATAACATAGCGATTTCTCCAGTATCGATTGAATAAAATTTATATATTAATGGAAACAAACACGGCGAAAATAAAAAAAAAAAAAAAAAGAAAGCAGACGAATCGCACCCCCGACTATACCGCCATAGTGCGGCGAAAATCTGAACTAGAAGAAACGGTATCGAAAGATGGAAGAGGAAGAAAAGATGTTATTGAAGGAAAAAGAAAAGAAAATAAGTAATCGTTATTGTTCGGTTCCTCAGTGTCGAAGCAGAAAGACGAAGGATATATCCCTTCACTTCTTCCCTCGCAACTCTGTTCTTAAATTTAAATGGGCGGAAGTATTGAAAATTGTAAAACCCATCTCACCCTTTATGTATGTTTGCAGTTTGCATTTCAAGAAGGATGACTTCATTCTCCCAGGTAATATACATTTTTAATCTTAATTACGTCACGTGTTTACGTAAGAATTATAAGATGACGTCATAAACTATTCAATTTCTTATTTTATTCTATTATTAAATTTTTAAGTAAAATAAAAAATAATTTTTAAAAAAAATTCATTGTTTGTATAAATATAAATTATGATATTTATGACAAAAAAATTAAAATTTTAATAAATAAAATTGAGGATTTAATATTTTATTTATTTATTTATAGATTTATTCACTTATAATTTAAAAAATTGACTTGTTTTTCTGTAAAAAAATAACCAATAAAACTGGGCGATACAAATACACACCAGAAGTCCAGCGGAGAATGAATGATACACGGAATACATAAGAAATGTTTTTTGGTTATCTTAAACCATCGTCTTTAGGTTAGAAAACATTTGTTCTTATGCTACAACATTAGAACAAATGTTTTCTAACCTAAAGACAGTGGTTTAAGATCACCGAAAACATTTGTTCCTATTTATGTTCTTGTACTATTCGTTCTCTGCTACATTTTTAGATATGTAATGATTGTATATATATTTTTTTGATGTGTCGCCAAATGCCCTACTGCTTGAGAAGGGTTTACTGTATAATTGCTACGTATACGGGAGATCTTTCTATTAATAACACAAAATAATTCATTACTTTTACAGTAAAATGTTTTTCTCCTGTTACTTGACAAAAACAGTTAAGGTTTTTACCTTTTATTAATTGTATAAATTCTTAAATATTGGCTGAATTATTTTCAGTTCTCTACGTGGTGAGCTGGAACCTAATAATAATGGGTGTTAAGACATGAAGCAGGCCACTTTATGTAGCTGAAATCATTCATTTAGTTGCATTTTTATTAAAATGTTTTGCTGGAAATAGTGTGGAAGGTGTTTTATTATGAAGTATTTTCTTTAAAATGTTATTTAAATATTGAAAAATTATTTTATAATAATTTTTGTCTTGGCAATTACTTGAAATAGCTTCAGAATAATAAGATAAAAATGCTTTGTAAAGGAAGTTTATAGGGATTTTACATAATTAATGATTTAAAATTTTATTATCATCTAAGAATCTGCATCACTCAAATCATCTAGCAATCGTCCACTCATTACAATGATGTCACTATGTATACCAGGTGATCCAGTAGTTACATAGCAGCTGTTTGTAAATAAGTGAATAATAATAATAATAAATAAATGCTTTGTTTTTGCATAAAAATTTAAAATGCTTTGTTCTTGGCACTGCAAATGGTTGCTATGTGTAAGGACTTCTGCATCACCCAATATAAATATTAATGCAATTTAGAGACATAAAAAAGTTAATTCTCTTAAGTTGTTTATTTCTATGTTAAATATGAATATTTCTTAATAAGACAATAATTTTTTAGAATATTTTAATTTTCATTTTTTGATATACAGTTGAACCTGTTTTTCGAATCTCAAGAGAATGAGAAAAAATTTAGAGATAGATAGGTTTCGAGGTATAGAGGTTCCTATAAAGTAAACAATAATAGGCTTGATTGGAGGTATGGTATTAATACAATAGCAAGTATAGTACATACCTGTGTTAGGTATAAATAAAACATTTTTGACATACCTTAACATGAATAGTTTCTGGTGCCTGACTTTCTTCAACCAATAAGACTCAGGCCAAACTTAACTGATTAGAAAAAGCAGTGTTAATTGCAGCTAAGTACTGTGTTGCAAGACGTGTTTTTCAACTAGAGTTTATGCTATCAAAATATAATTGCAAAGCTTTGAATTTGTAATTGACACTTCAACCCAGTATTTGAGATATAATGGTTTTGGGAGATTATCTGAGATAAATATGGAAAATATATTGAATTTAGACTGAAAATGCTGCAAGGGGAAAAATAAATTTCAAGATAAACATGTTTCAGTTAGACAAGTTCAACTGTATTAGGTTTTTTTACTCAATAAGCAAAAACGTCATATGTAGAATAATTTAATAGAATATAGATGTTATATTAAATTCAGAAAACATCTGCAGACTAAGAGAATTGAATTGGTAATTATATAAAATTAGTATGTAGAAGCTAAATATTTAGCATAATTCTTTGAAAAACTGAATCTTTTGAAGTCAGTTTTAATATTAATAAGAAATTAAATCTCTACATATCAGCAACTCCTTATTTTGTACTGTGTCCATCATACACTGTAACTTTAAAGAAGTCAGTCTTTAACACTGATAAAATGATTCTTAAGATGACCAATGTCTCATCAGCCCAAAATCTCTTTTACTAGCTACTTTATCAGACAACTATAGAACAATATTTAAAAATTAATATATCAAAATCTTTTGAACAGTAATAAGAAAGAACACAGAAACATCTTTTAGTCTATGATGAGATAATGATTGTCTCTAAAAAAAACTTTTTTATTGGTATTAAAAACTGTATATTGAATGAAGTAAATTATTTGATACATATGAATATTTTTAATTATTGTTTATTTATAAATTTTTTAATGCAAGAGAAATAGAAAAATGTTTCAGAATGAATATAATATATTTTTTAAACTTTCATTTAGATTAAAATTTAATTCTTCTGCATTCTTATTATTTGGTTTTGCATTCATTTAGATTTTCCCACAAAGAAGAAATTTTTGAAAAAGAATGCTATTCCATCTCAAAATTTACCAAATGAAAGTAGCAATAATCATAAGAAAACAAGGGACAGCAAAATTGATAAAGCAGTACAACCAATTAAGAAGAATAATCATAAGTACGTTAATAAGTTCATTTATTCAATAATAAATAATATATCTTTTTATTTATTTTATTCTGAAAAATATAAGTTTATTTGAAGATAATATTTATTATAATTTCAAATGTTTGTATTAAAATATTTTCTTTAAATTTGAAATTGAATTAGAAATTTAATATCATTTAAGTATAATTCTTTTAAAAATTTAATTGTAGTAACAATTTTTTTTATTTATTTCTAAGACAAATTAATTCTTATATAGATAAAATCATGGCTTTACGTATTAAAGTTTTATTGTTAAAATTTAAAGAAAAAATGAAGATATTTGTTCTTGCAGTTTTACTATTATTTAATGTTTTGTAACTCTTAATTACTGTATTTTAATTAATTTAAAGCAAATGTTTATTAAATTTTAATCACATGTTTAAGGATAAGATGTGTTATTTCATAATGAGGTTATCTTATAATACTTTTAAGAATTTGATAAATTGTTAACAACATTTGATATAATTTATTAAATTTATATTATCTAACATGAAGAATTTTATTCTTCTGTATTATGTGAATGCTCTTAAAAAGTAACTATGATAAGTTATATATCAATGACCTTTAAACTTTTAACGTCTATAGAATATTCATGCTTGAGTATTATTTCTGAGCAATATTTAAAGAAAGGAAAAAACTTTACATGCTGTTTTTAGTTTTCAATTTTTTATTATATTCAAGTAATTGAAGAGAAAATAATTGAAAACAAAAAATATTATCAGTGAAAAATTATTCAAAATTTAATGAAATATAGTTATTTTTATTCTTCTGCTTTATTGAATATAAATAAAATGCTTTTCAATTTTGGATTAAAAATTTATATAAAAACTTAAGTGCTTTTGCACAATTTTAGGTTAACAAATAATAAAATTTAATTAGTTAAGTTTCATTGTCTTAATTTAATTAAGATAATGAAACTTTTTGTCTAGAAATGCTTTGATGCTTTTATCGGCTCACCTTCAGCTGTGCAAAGTATTTATATCTGTGACAATGACTTTCAGAACACATTACTGTTCTGAAAGTATTCCAGATATTTTCTGCAACTGAAGGTCAGTGGATGAAGATTTCAAAACATTTATGAAAATATTTATATTAATTTGATATTATAATAATATATGTTATTAAAGCATCAGTTTATGGACATAAGTAATCTTATTGTTAGCAGTAATACATGATGGGAATAGTGCAATAATTTTGCAATTTGTGCATCTACAGTATAGTATAATGTTGTAATTTTAGTATTTTGAAATAAGGATGATGATATATTTATAAATTTCAAAATGATAAAAGAGAAGACTTCAGATTATTTTAAAATATTCATAATTTTATTTATGATTATCTAGGCTGTCAGTTTTCATAATTACTTATTTGGTGTTTTGACTTGGTTTACAATTACCTCTCTAAAATAAAATTTATTTTTTATTATTTAAACAATAATTTTAAAAGTATAAACATAGTAATTTTTTGTTCAAAGTATTATTTATGTAAAAAATTAACAAAATTTTATGTGTAGCTAAATATAATACACTTTGATTAAAATCAATTTTATATTTTTATATCAAACATTTTGTGAATTAATTTAATTTATAATTAAGCAAAATTATGAGTTGCAAATATTAACTTATTATTTAAATACATTAAAAAATTCTGTTGCATTTATATAGAAGAAATACACAGTAGCTAAAGAAAATTAATATCCTTTATAAACAAATGGAGCATTTTAGATAATATAGTATCTTATATAGATATATGAAATTTTTATAAGTTTGCAATGAAATGTATATACAGTAGAGTCCCGAAAACTCGGCCTAATGTGGACTGAAGGGCGGCCGAGTTTGTGAAAATGCCAGGTTATTGAGAATGGGGTTAAAAAAGAATAAGTATGATTGTTTCCTCAGAAAATACTGTACTGTACTTGTATGTATTGTTTTCTTGAGAATACAACAGAGAGTAAACTGCCCAAATACCCTTAAACAAAGGAAAAGTACTGTATATACTGTACTTTATGAAGGCACAGAGCCTTTACTACATAAAAATGAAAATTAATGAATACACAGTGTATAGTAATTTACCTGATAATGAAAATTAACTAGCTGACTTTGCAAAAACTGACTACTTTTTTTTTAAAGAAATGCATAATGTCCTGTTGTCTTCTGCAATGCACTCTGCATTTTGCTTCTTTATCACGAAGACGACAAAGGAACAGTAAGTCTGTTACCAAAGTTCAAAATTCTGAAGGGTGGTTTCGACAGCCTTTAGTCCCTCACTATGTGATATTTTAGGAGCTTGTACGGTGGAGTCCTCAACGTCAACGTCTTCATCATATTCCGGCATTTTTTCACTAACTGTGACAGCAGCAATAATTTCTGCATCGGACATAATGTCTTGCTTGGTATCATTCTGGAACCACTGTTCGACATCATTTTCATCACCTTCTGCACATCCAGGAACTCTTTTCAGGTGGTCGAATAAGTTTACATTTTCTGCATCATCATGTTCAACAAACTCATTCCCCTCATGATCAAGGAGTTTTTGGCAGGAATGAACTAGTGTTAATGACTCTAATTCATTCCAGGCGTCCACCTCCCAGCCAACAACATCCAACACGTTAATTTTCTTTAAGTTCTGGATAAGACCTTGACCATCATTGTTTGCAGAAAGAAGGGAGGATAACAGCTTGTGCCGAGTTATCTGGACTGCCAGGTTATCGAGTGCTGAGTTTTCGGGACTCTACTGTATTCAATATATTTCATTGTAATTTCTTATTATTCAGGTAAGAAAAAAGTTAAATATCCTGTGAGAAAGATGTAACATTTTTATTGTCATTCAATGGATTTAATTTATTTGTGGTAAAAAATTTTAAATAATCATCTTGGAATATGTTTATGATTGGGAAATATGTTAATAGACAATTGTCTTTAAATATCAAAATATAGTATCTTTATTGTGCAATGTATTTAGAATTAGCATTAAAAGTATTACTAACTCAATCTATACTTCTATATATTAGAAAATTTGTGATTTCATATCAACTCCCTCCATATAATTTTTTATTAAATTATATCAAGAATAAATGAGTGCTTTTTTGAAAGGTGTATATTATTTGTTGATCTTGATATTATAAACAAATTATATAAGTAGAGCTTACGAATTTTATAAAAATTATAATATTTAAACTAATTTTATTGAACAAACTTATTAATAAAACAGATCATTTGCAGCTTTCTTTAGTATAAATATAGAAATATATTCTGTTGTTGTATAAATTTAAAATTGGATTTGATTATAAATATTCTATTATGTTTCAATGAAAATTTAACAGTCATTGTCCTCCTTGAAAATATAACATTTTTAACATAAAAATTAATATTTTAGGAAATTTATTTTGTTTCATTTTATTTTCTGTACATTTCTAAGGTTTTCTTTATAAATTATGTGTGGTTGTAGAAAGTGAATCTGACAGAAATGGGTCAGAAAAGTAGCAGCCAATACCTATATGTTTATTTGAATTAAATATTTGTTATAGTTATGATTCACAGTTTATCTTGCAGAAGTAACTAGTAGTGTTTTTCAAAAACATGTTTTTAAGTTCTCTCTAATTATTATCTAAAATATCTAAAATACAATATTGTTTATATCAAACACAAAGTTTTGATGCAGTTTTTGCTTTTCTAGTATAAAATAGAACTATTAAAATATTTTTTGTAACTTTTTTTCTGTTTCTTTTATCACCATATGAAATCAATTAATGTAAAAAGAAATACAGTAGAGCGTCGATTTTCCGAAAGTCAGTCATCCGAAACGTCAATCATCCGAAAGAATTACAGTCGGCAAATTTAAATTTTCGCCAGTGCTGTGGCACTTCAATCTTTAGCTATATCTTAGGCTACTCAAATATTTTACGTTTTTGATACTAAATTAACATCTGAAGTATAATTTTTTATTGTTTATATATTTTTCAATATATTTATTTTGTTTGTACAAAATAAAAAATAATTTTTAACGATACAATAGTCTTTGTTAGGCTTAACATCGACGAAAATTCAACGCGAAGCGACACGTAACGGATAAAAATTTTAACATCGGATACATTAAACTATTTTTTCGTACATAAATCGGTTATCCAAAATATCAGTTATACGAACAACTCCAGTCCCCAATTGATTCGGAAAATCGACGCTCTACTGTAATAGAATTTTTGTGTGTGTAGTAAAGATTTTGAAAATTTTCTACTTTTTGGTAGTTAAATATGGCAATTATGTTCAGTCTGCATTCAGTTTAAGAAATTATAATCTATTTCTTAAATTCAAAAAAATTACAAAATGTGATGATATAATAGTGTGATTTGCTATAAAATTTTTATTAAATAAATGTCAAACAATCTCCTAAATAATCGAGCTATAATTTCGCTACTTTAAATAATTAATACAAAGTAATTTGCTAGTAAAGGTAGATGTTAGGTGCAATCTCTTAACTAAATATATATATATATATACATATTGAAAAAATATATATTTTATCTTTATTTTCTCCAACATGTGAAAAGACAAAAATAATTTTGTAATATTTCAGAAAGTAATCATTATGTAAAGACAGACAAATTTTTAGACTCTTATTATACAGTAATTAGTATTATTACATTTGTATATAATAACTAATATTTAAACTTGTTCTATTTTAATCTTTTATCAAGGTCAGTGAAATGGATACAATCATCTTTTAAGTTTTAAAGAGTGTAGTGTAATATATTTTAAAATAATAATGAATACTTTATTAAATTACAATTATAAAAAATGTATATATTTTCTACAAATATATTTTAGTATAATACTTCAGTTTATAAATATATATGTATTGAAGAAGATTTAATTGAAGAAGATTGAAGAATATTTAATTAAAATTTATTAAATAAATAACCTTGCAAACACAAAAAACCAGCAAAAATAAAATAATTTTAAAGTTTTCATTAAAAT